GGAGTAGGAGGGGTGGGGGGGTGGGGTGAGGGAGTAAATCTGCCAGCTTTAAAAGATGAAGATTATATGGAGTTGCAAAAGGCTGCAACCCAAAGACTTTACTTTTTAGCATTCAGTGTGAGTTTTTGAGTAGGCTTTATAGGACTAGTATAGAATAATAACAGTAAAAATAATTTTCTATATATTAGTATTTCTTTTGAGTCTAAAACACTATAAAATATTAAGTTCTTGCTTGAGTTTGTAGTGACATGTCGGACTATTAGGGACTTTGTTTTCTTCATTTAGTTCCTTCTCAAACTTTGACATATTTTTTTATTTTTTTTTTATTGAGAAGAGTAATAACTTACCTTATGGAAGTTTGGGACTTTGAGAGATAAAAATATAAAAGTAATAAGGCATTTGAATAGGAACCCTATTTATGTACTAACACACAATAGCTAGGTTGGCCATCCACAACTCTCCAACTCACTTGGAAAAGAAAAGGGAAAAAAAAAACAATCACACTTTTATCTTCTTCCTTCAATTCTCTCTTTACCGCCAAAAGGATGTGCAGTGAATGAAATTGTTCTTTTCTTAATCAAGTGTTTCAATTCAATTTCTTGATATAAAAAAAATTCTTGGTCCTTCGTTAATCAGAGATCTCGCATTCGATTTCTAGATATGAAAAAATCATTGATAAGGAGCATTTCCTCTTGAATGGGGTCCTAAGCAGCGCAAATCTAGAATACTGAGATTTCAATATGAATAGCAAACGAACACGATGTGAAAAACCAAAAATATATGTATATATGTATATTCTCTCTTGTATGTTTATTACTTGAGGACTCTCTAGCTAGAATAACTACTGACTGATGAGGCGGCTTTGTTCAGGAACTGATTGTGTAAACATAAGCAAATGTTTAATGACTATTTTACCCTTGTCTGTGAAAGGAAATTTCTTTGAACTCTCTTGTCTTGAAAGTTTGTGGCTATTAGGAAGGACCAGATAATGCTGAGGAAGTTCCGGTCACTGTCACAGTAATAATTTTGTTTTTGAATAAATTACTTTAGCTTATTATGAAATATTTTTCATTAAAAATTGTCTTTAAGTTTTGAATAAATTCAGTGTTGTGTATCGATCGGTTCAATTTGGTTTAAAGTTTCTTGGTTCGGCTTATTGATTATTGGTTTGTACACGTGCGAAATCGTTATAGAAGATTATGTTTAAGTTTGTAAAAACCCAAGTTTAGGACTGCGTAGCGATTTCGTTTCACTTATTGGTTTATAGACATGCTAATTCATTCTAAGGTATTGATATATTGACTTATCGATAATTGATTTTTTGATAATCGATAGTTATGATTGAGTTGTCAATTTAATCATTAAGATTTGATATAAAAATTAATTAAAAAACAATTAAAAACAAAGTGATAAGCCACAAGCACCCCTAAGTGTTGGGACCCTAAGGCACAACATATTTAGATCGATGGATGTGAAATTTAAAAGAATATTCAGATGTAAATGGTCACATTTGAAACACACATTAAAAACATTAAAATGAGAAAAGGTCAATTAATATAATTTGATTCTGACCTATGTGGACATTCAAATACACTAGCTAGTTTGCAGCAATGACACTGATGATTTAAGTTATTGATTATTATTTTTGTAAATAGTAATTGGTTGCATGTATTTTCCATCAAAAAATATATGAATTAAGATTTAAATATGAAATATTATCTAATAACATTAATTTAATAAACACAGAAAAAATTAGGTTACGTAAATTTGAGAACGAAAAATATAATAAAAGTGAAAATAAAGTTTTAAATGTTTTCCAAATTTCAAATACAACTTCAAGTTGTATTGAAAAATTTCATTGCTAAACGGTGATTCTCAAATAAAATTAAAAACAAATCTACAAAGAAATGTAAAAAATTTCATGGCCAAAGTTTTGAAAGTAGTCATTTAGCAAAGAGACTCGGTGCGCATTTGATCATGAAAATTAAAACAATATTCACTTTATTTGAAATTTTCAAATTTGGAGTTTTGTTTGACTAAGTATTTTTTTGCAAAAAATAATATTTAGAATTTGAATGTATTTTTAAAATATGATTTATGCCTCACAATTTTTAAAAACTAGCAAACTCATTCAACTTAACTAATTTATCTCAATCATACAATCAAATTTGCTCTAAAAGAGTAATATCTAAAAATAATTAGTCACATAATGTCATAAATTTGATCTATTATATGAACTACTACGTGTTATTATAAATATTTTGTCACTTTATTTGAAATTGTTAAAATTGGAGTTGAAGATGATTAACTTGATAAAACATACAAGTCTTGAAAAATTGGTAGAATAAACAATCTTTACGATGTCACAATTTAAAGTTCAAAAACCGTCAACTCTAACGTCAAAATATTTAATAATACAAAATAGTCTCCATCCACACTATAATGATCATCCATGTCATTTTTTATGTATTGCTTTATTTTCGGTGTTTAGAGCTTTTCTATAGTGGTCTTTTATGACTTGCTGGAACTGATAATTCGGTCACATGGTCGTTCGTTTGGTTTTTATTCGAGTTTGTGTGTTTTTGAGCTTTAGAAACTTGAATGGTTGACTTTGGTCAAAACTTCAAGTAAACGACCTTAGAATACAATTCTGATGGTTCCGTTAGCTCTAAAACGTCGAGTTTGATCTAGAAGGACCTTTGGGACTGCCCCAAGGCTCCTAGGCTCATTTCGAGCTATCGTGTGGATTTTAGCTTAATAAATGGAGCGTGAATGCAAGACTCACTTTTTATCGATACGACTTTCATTGGAAGTTTTGACATCTCAATTGAGTTTAGAATGTCAAATTTGATGGGGTAACATATATAGTTCGTTTGCGTGCACATGTTTAAATTTTGAACTAATTCTGAGCATTCGAGCGGAGTCCGTTGGAACATAGGTTATTTGGCTGGTGCACTTTGTTGGTGCAGCCGCCCAAGCGGTTCTGGCACCGCTTAAGCAAAAGTCGCTTTAGCATTCAGGGTGCCGCTTAAGAAGGGATTTCTAGCTAAGGGTTTGTAACACCTCAGACTTCGATAAATGGCTAAAAGGGGAAATTTGGGCAAGTCCACGAATCCAAAATGGACTATGGACCCTTCACGGCATCCTAGATGGTCTGTGTAAGGGACCATGATCCGTTAATGATGACGTGAGTGACCATCCAAGACTTCCCTAGGAAGGGTCACCTAGATGTCGCCCTAGACGACTCGTGGTGACTTGGACGACCCGTCTAGGGGTCCGTACAAATCACCCAGTCAAAGAAGTTGCACCCAAGTCAGGTCTTGAGTGTTGGGGCAACTTCAAACTATCAAATTAAAGGTCTTTGAGTCCTCTTTCCAACGCCACCAAATTTACCTAATTTTGAGCCCAGAGTAAAGAGTTATACTCATTTTAGTGAAGCCCTGTCGGGCAGAGCAACATGATGACCCACTAGACGGGCCATCATGCCTTAGACAACCCATCAAGCCCCTCTTGAAGGTCACCCCGTTAGTTTTAAGTGAGGTTTCTGCCTAGACGGTCCGTGAAGCTTCACACGGACCGTAAAGTTGTCCGTGAAGGAAACTTATCAGACTTGGAGCTTAGGGTCAACTTGAAACAGTCATATCTTTCAGCACAAAATGAATTAGGTGGCCCATAACCTATCAAATTAAAGATCTTTGAATCCTCTTTCTGAAGCCACCGAGTTTGCCTAATTCCAAACTCGGAGTAAAAATTTATGCCTGAAATAGTGAAGCCTAATCCTCATAGCATCTTCATGACCCACTTGACGGGTCGTGGTGCTCTTGACAGCCCGTTGATACGTCCAAACTTACACTTCAATTAAGAAGTATAAACGGTCAATGCCAATTTATAGAACTCAACTGAGTTGAGGTCGATCCCACAGAGAACTTGCATACAGAAATAGCTTTACTGATGCTCTTACTCAGTGGTTGCTATTATTTCCAAAAGAAATTAATTCCGGAAAGTAAATATGGGGCTGGTTGGTATTTTAAGTAGCTAATGTTTAATTTAATGTTCAGGTTAACATGAGTAAAAATCATTTTAACTTCGAGATTGTAGTAGTTGATTTATGAGACTAGGATTGTGTTCCCCATAACTTTCGCTTAGTATTGAATCGTATATGAGTAGTGGTCAGTTGTTAGCATTACATGTTCCTACCAAGTTAGATACATCTAAATGCTTCTCAGCCCTATTAGATGACTTTCATTCTTTTCCTCTCGGTTTTAAAATGTTTTCAAGTTTACCCTTGCAATGTTTGTTATTG